TTTTTTTTTTTTCATTTTTACTTGACTCTCCCAATCAATTTGGAGAGTTAACTGTAAGAAAATGTTCCTCTTTTTCATTTAATTCTTTTTTTCCTACATAAATAGAGACAAATTAAAAGATAGATTTTTCTAAAAATATATAAAGTGCAAAATAAAGTGAATTAAAAATTCAATCAAAACAAGGAAAATTTATTTATATAGCACATTTCAGTACCACGCAGTTCAAAGTGCTGTAGATAAAAAAAAAGGAAAAACAATAAGAAAACACAGAAAACTACATTGCTGTGGCATAGAGTTAATTACATTACATTAAATTAAAGTAATTAAAGACAATTAAAATCAAAGCTTAAAATAATAAGTATAAAAGATAAATGATATTATTGAAAGCAAAATGAAAATAATTTTGACTACAAACTGATATTAATCACGTTTCTATAAAACAGTCAAAGGGCACTCTCAACAAATATGTTTTAGCCTTTCTTTTCTTCTTTTTTTCTCAGTGTCCTGTCTGGCAATGTGGCAATAAGAATAATTGAGAGAGCCCAACATATTTTACTTTCACAAGTGGAGCAGTACAGCTATCGCCATAGTGTTCCGCTTGATTTATGCATATAAATAGCTTTATCATAATTATGCAGGGAGTTTTACAGATTATATGGACACTGCAATGTAAGTAGAACAGGAAAGGAAAAACAGGGAAAAAAGGAGAAAAGATGAAAGAAAGAGAAGATAAAAGGGAGATAATGATAAAACATCTTCAGTTTGCTTCACCACCTGCAAAGAGATGTAAAAAGAACAGCACAACCAACGGATATAGTATAAGAGATACAATAAAGTAACGCCTTTATACTATCGCTGAAGTATAGGTAGTATTATTCAATCTGACTGTGGTAGCTGAAGATAAGAATATGGGCTTTCTGTAAGGAAGTGAATCTCTTAGTACCTGGAACCACCTGTATGTTTTAACGTTCATTTAGGTGATGAAGTCTTTATGTACCCCTGAAATTCCACCACTATACACATTATGAGCCTTTAAATTTCCAAAAGTGGCAATCAACAGGAGAAGATTAACACGTTTTAAAAATTGGGTTATTTTTTCCTACTTACTTGGACGCCTGAACGAGACAGAAATGTCAGGTGGCCTTCAGCAGAGCCACCACCACCACATGTCCCTGAAGTTCCTTTAGCGGAGAGCGGCCATTTATGGCCCAGTCTGGAGCAGGTTGGCAGATCCTGGAGGAATTCTTATCAGCTCCAACCAAAGGAGTGGTTTGGGAAACCCACAGCAGAGCTGGCACGGCTGCGCTCAGCCACAGCACCAGCAGAGAGCGCATTGTGTCCCCCTGCCAACCGCAATCTACATGAGAAGGCAGATATGGTCAGTTTACACTTGAACACTGTCACCCCCCACATCAGCTATAAAGAAGTAAATGCACATTTTATCAGCAAAGATTTAACAGGTAGGACAAATTTAACATGATTAGTGATACTGGGATTATAAAGGTGTTGTGAATTATGCGTTATTTGGTAATTAAACAGACAAAGGGTGCAGTGTGGAGAATCATGGCCCCTTTTATACCCCTGGAAAAAACATTCAGTCTGGTCCAAAAATAATTAATGAATAACTTGTTGTTGTTTCTGCCCACTTGAGTGAGATAATTACAAAAAAGCAGAGTTTTTTTTTAATCCACAGATAAAAGAAAGAGGAATTTCAGATCAACATGCTATTGATCACAGTCTGTATGGTCACCTCTTCACACACGATAAGCATTTACTTCATTATCAGCAAATATTTTACTGGATATAAAGTTTTATAAGCAACTTTTACTTAGATTTACTCACATATATATTTATGTTTTTATATCTTTCAATCGTGAAGCTATTCACCTTAAAGGCTCTGTGTTTAAAAAATAATTATGCCAGTACAGCTAGTGTGAAAGTTTGTCCAAAAAAGAAAAAAAAATAATTTTTTGCTCTTTCTTTCTTTAGCTTGAAATAATGTAAGCAAATGAAAAACTAAAGTTTAAAGTAAGATTTGAAACCAAAAGATGGATATTTATATGAGCAGTGCAAAGAACAGCAATTAAATGGTTTTAGGAGGAAGGGGAAGGCTTACCGCTGCCCAGTGTGTCCTGTGACTCAGACTGGCACACTGTGAACCCCTGAGGTTTTTAAGGGCTCTGCTGTTTACTGAGCACTTCCCCCAATTTAAACAGTGACCGACTTCTGGTGCCAAAGAATTTCAGATACAAAGCATGCACTGATGATGTTGCATTGTATAAAAAGGCTCAGGTTTTGTTGGGTCTGGTTTGAATAAATAATGTTTTTCCAATATTATATTTAAACAGTATTGTTCTTAGTGTTTTTTTTTTTTTTTAGAGAGAATAATGAACTAAAGTTGTATTGATGGCAGATAGTTAGATGTTAAATGGTAAACAACGGTAGAATAATTTTTCTGCTAAACTTTGTGGAACGTTTTTCGAGGGAGATAACTGAAATAGGATGATTTTACTTTTGGGTGACAGAAGAGATGCACCACTGGTTCTTAGCAGCCATGCTTGCTCACACTGCTGTATTTACAATGATGAAAAATTAAGTTGTAACAGTTCTGAAAATCCTTAGTTATATTTCTCTTTGAAATCACTGTTTCTAAGATCTATTATACCTTTACTACTAAAACCTAAATAAGTTATCTGCAAAATTAATCTTTTATGTTAATTCCCTTAGATTAGTTCTGGATACTTAAGCTGCTTTAGAACATATGTGTTGTTTTTCACCCAATTAAAGGTTGAGATATCTTAGAAAACAATGTCTTAATTTTGAATCAGACTCTCACTGCCGCCCTGAGGTATTAGTTTGTAAAACGATCAGTTCTAGTTTCTCTAGAACTACATTTCTAGTTTGCTAACAATGTTAGTTCTGGTATACTCTCTTTCTAGGTGATCACACAAGCATCTCTAAAAGCAGATGTTTAAACTTTTGTTACTGAGCAGTACAACTAACAACTACTTATAACTCTTGTCAAACTTTATGGCAAAATGAAATGATTGTGTCATCCCCCTACCTGCAGGGTAAATATCCAATCTGGCACAATAATAGCTCAAAGTCCATGTTGGGTAAAAACAAGTGCTTCATCCAAAAGATGGTATAACAGTGTGTCACAGTTTAGGTCCCTTCATAGAAGAAGAATGCTGGCAATGCAAACATGACCAGGGATCAGCTAGATGAACTTTTGCTTTTCTGCTGGAGCTTTACCCGTCAGGCCACTAAATATTAAAAATGTATTTATTATTTCATGCAAACTATTCTCCTCAGCTTTGATGCAAACAATCTTTTACTTTGTGCACACTATGTAATGTTCTATGTAGGGCTACAACTAAAGATTATTTAGCAAATCAATTAATCTGTTGATTTTTTGATTAATCAATTAATAATCGGACAGCAAAAGGTTCCTTAGAGATGATTTTTTTTTTACAAATTTAATCCAGGGGAAATAAAAACTTTTCTACTCGAGGAGTTCAGGATAGAGCATATTGATAGAAGAAAATGTGTTTTTTTATTTTTATCTTAAATGGAAAATATTTATATAATCAATGCTATAAGTGGGTTCTTCTGTCAGCTAAAGACATGTTTAAAGGTCTCTATACTCCATTAAATGATTAACCGATTACTAACTTAGTTGCTATTCAAATAATCGATTGATCACGATTATACAGAATTGTTTTAGCCCTAGTTCTATGCATTGTTTGATTTAACAAAACATTACAAATGCAACAGAAAACAGTTATGGTATAAAATTATTAGTTTCATACATAAAATAAGTAAGATTATAAACCTGTTCAATGTATTACTATGGTAATACAATATCGTAATACAGCATATCTGTAGATATGCTGCTAGTAGTTTTCTAACTGAAAAACTTTATTCATTCATTTAAAAATTACTTTGAAAGCACAAAAAATAACTCTCAGCAGGGCTGGGCAACATGGCTTGAAAATCTAATCTCTGATTTTTTCCTGCAAAAATTATTTTTTTCCCCAAATTAACTTCCAAAATAAGAAGGCCATATATTATTGTCAAAAACAAGTTTTGATTTCATCCTCTGTGGGAGGTGACCTTCATTTAAAGGACCACAAAATTCAAGCTGTGCAACATGCTTTAAAAAAGAATCATGTTTCACAAAAATACAAAAAACTGTGGTATCACACAGCTATTCACACACATCTAAGAACAAAAAATGATACTGAGGTCATTTATGGAAGCTAAAGGGGTGTATTAGTTTGCAAAAACCCCAATTTTAGAAAGCATTTCCAAATTCAACTGATTTTATTGATGAATAACCCATCTAATCATCTTCAGATGATTAGTTGTTTTCAGCAACAGAAATGGGACTTTAGATCGAATGGTTAAATGCCAGTTCTCTAAACATAGGAAAAGTAGTTGAAGACAACAGAAAATGAAAAAAAAATCAAAACAAGTCAGGAGGCATTTTAGCTCAAACTTTTGAATTAGTTTAGGCATTTTACAAAAGATTAGATGCTTAAATCAAATTTAGTCTGACACATATATTCCTGTAAACTAAAGGACATTTTATTTTGTTATGGATTAGAATGGTTTAAACTGGGTTAAATTCACTTTATTTGTTGTTTTTAATAGTTTAACATTTACACAAATCCTTGCACAGAACTATATGAAACCAAAATCGACAAAATGTGCAGAAATATCAGATCAATTAAATGATTTCAATGTTTTTAGTATGCTGCCAGGAAACAGTCATTAGAACTTATGTTACCCGGGATCTGCAGCATGTTTATCTACTTACATTATATCCAGTCAGGCTAAATGTAATGTTTTATTCCTTATATAAAACAGAGCCAATGAAAAACTCTGAAGTGTGACAATTGACCTTCAAAACAAGCAGCGATTTATCCAGGCGAGGTGCAAATGTTCTTTTACAAATCACTCAAATCTACATAGTGCATTTAACGAGCTACATAGTGCTCCTCACTCGTTCAGGCTACCTCAACATGCCAGCATAACAGCAAGAATGACCAGAGCATCAATCTTGGCTGATCAAACATCATGTGCGCTGGGCAACGTTTAAAACCAGTGTCTTGACGTTTTTATGCTTCAGGTACAGTTTAAACTCAGAATCAGGAAATATCCATTCGAAATAAAAGCTGATGACTAGGATCAAGACAACACTCCCATCAGTTCTTCTTCATCATTATCCCCAACTCCTTCTGTAGGGCTGTTACATGTGGCCATGAGCCCCAGGCTCAGCTCCGCCAGCTCCTCGCAGCTCATGTCAGTTGTGACCATGATCTTAGTCTCCAAGCGGTTGCACAAAGTCCTATATGAGGGTAGAGGGTAGCCGATCTCTCTAAGGTACTCGTAGCCTTTGGTTCCAACAGCGCAGCGAATCTTTCGGGCTTTCATGATCGTCTCTGGTGACCAGACCGCTCGACGGGAGCGCTTTGTGAGGGACAGGGCTCGGACCTGATCTTCGTACAGAAAGTTCTGCAGACCCTTCTCTATCCGATCCAGCCGATACAGACGCTTCTTCATTTCTTCTGCCTGTGAAAGATAGCAGAAAGTTATTTATCAATCATTAATATAAATCAACAAAAAGACACCATAAAAAACAGCCATATTACCTCCCTTTGTAGTCTTGCAGTGTGTTGCATCTCCTGCTCCAGCTTTTTCTTAAGAAGCTGACACTGCATGCAGGGGTGATGGTCTTCAGATGCTCGTTCTCCATCCTCCTCTTCAAGTCCAGACAGGGGGTTGCGTCTGGCATAGCCATGATCCCCAAAGTTTAGATCCTTTTCCACTACAAGACAAGAAAACCTTCCAGTAAATCAGAAGTTCTGTAATCCAGCATATTTCATATAGTTCAGAAATGTTTAATCTTAAACACAGTTCAGTGAGAGAAATACCTGGGTCAGGTTTCAGGGGTAGCAAGATATATGGGGAGGTGATAGCAGGGAAAGGAGGGTCCCCCACATTGAACAGAGTGGGAATGGCATTGGGCTTCAGCTTTTTACCACCAGCTGGAGATCTGGCAATTTCTTCAAACTGGCTTTCCTCAAAGTGGTCCTTATAGAAAAACAATAAAAAAAAACAAAAAAAAAACAACAACATAAAAATGAAACATGCCGGGCTTTAATTTTCATTATGTACTATCAAAAGCTATTTTAGAAGCATTTATTTTGTTATTTTAGAGCTTTATGAATAATTGAATTCCAGGAACTTTAGAAGCTGTAAAACTGGATATTACCTGGCAGAGTCTAGAATGGGGAGTGGGCTCGAAGTCACGTCGGCAGTTCACCACCCATTTCTTTTTCCGCACTGGGTCTTTAGGGAATCTGAACAGCTGTTTGCCTATGCTGGTAGAATTGGAACAGTTTGGAGCCGAGCAGCCTCCCATTACATACAGTGAAAAAAACCAAACAAAACAAACCAAACGTTGTAAGCGGTGACTTGGCTCAGCTTGGGTTTCTTTAAACCATGATTTCTGGTCCGCTGCTTTTAGGAGGTTAAAACAACACAAAGATACTTTTAGAGTAAATTATGACTTGTAAAAATGATTAAACCCGACGAACCGTTAGCACAAATGTATCGTAAGACATTTTTAAAACACTTTATTTTGGGTGAAATCTTGAGGAGTTTGTTTGAGCCAAAATGGCGACCGGTCCCTCGACATATAACTCCCGTGACGTTGTTTTAGCGCGGGCCATAGAAAATGCCTTACTAATTTTTTTTTATTAAAAATAAAAATATATACAGAATTAATATGGAATGCAAATCTGATACAATAGATTTTGAGGCGAGCTTTTTTACTAAATTCCCGGATGTTTTCTTTTAGAATTGTGCATTTATTTTGACATTTACAGTCAGGCGCTATATTTCAACCACTAAGACTTTTTTTCTGTCAAAAGCCAGGGAAACATGCTGATATGTTTACGGCTGAGATGATGCTAGCTCAGGACTCCTGAGCAGAACCCCGGCGAAAACGTGTATGACAGAAGTTATTTAACTACAGATCACATACGATTTATTATTTAAAACTAAACAATTTGTGAGTTAGCTTCTTGTATCGTCACAACCTCCATGTTACTTTGCGGAGGACGTGCCATCTACATAA